CGCAACTACCAGGCCAAGACGGACCAGCGCACCAAGCTGCTCGATGTCTTTATGGCGTTTTTGGTCGTTGTCGGCGCGCTGCAGTTTGTCTACTGCGTTATTGGTGGCACCTATGTGAGTGGAGTCTTTTTCGTTGGGTTTCGGGTGGAGATGTGCGTGTGGCAGAGAGGGAGTGTAGAGTTGAGGTGGTGATGGATGGATGGATGGATGGATTGATGGATGGGCAGCATTGTGGAAAGATGGATCTTCAAGGTGGATTTGTGGGCTAACTTGCTTCTGACAGCCCTTCAACGCTTTCCTCTCCGGCTTCTCCGCCACCGTCGGCCAGTTCGTGCTCACTGCGAGCTTGCGTATTCAGACCAACCCAGAGAACAAGGGAGACTTTGGCAGCATCTCTCACGAGCGGTATGTCACTCTAGGAGGAAGCCACAAGGATCGTCGGATATTGGCCCAAAGCTCCGGTGGAGACCAACTTTTGCTGACGGGCTTTTAGTGCCTTCGCAGATTATATCTTTGGCAGCGTGATTCTGCACTTTTTCTGCGTCAACTTCATCAACTAGATATCCCCGTCCCTGTTTCTTCTCCTTCCGACGTCACGGCCTTGTATCCCAAAAAAGTAGTCAAATTCCAATTCTACATAACACGCTTGCCGACTAAATCTATCCATTCCAGAGGGTACCCAAGCGCTTAGACCAAGAAATCGTGCGTTAATAACATGGCGAGAGTTCATGACTCATTGGATGGGACATTCAAATGCTGTACATCGCTCAACTCTCTTAAAAAAAAAAAAAAAAAAAAGATCATAATCTCAGTCATCAGTCCTTCAGCTTGAAGCTTTGCCTGATGGCGTCACCGAGGCGGTGGATGGCCTCTTGGATTTTGTCAGCCGGAGCCGCGGCGAACGTGGCGCGGAAGAACATGGTGTCGTGGGCGGCGTCAGGCTCGGCGTAGAACCAGCTGCCCTTCATGACGAGCGCGCCATGATCGATGATGAGCATGAAGATTTCATCCTCTAGCTCGGTGAGCGACTTGGTCGATGCGTGAGGGTGCTTGCGCCAGTCAATTTGGAGCCAGTGCTTGGCCATTGTTAGTGAATAAAATCCTAGATCAAGACTCGACGAAGACCACTTACGAACATGCCTGCCATGGGCGGCTTCCAGCTCACCACGTCCTTTGGCAGAAACTGGTCACAGGCCCGGAGCATCACGTCGCGGCGGTGCGTGTACTCCTTGCGGATGTGAATCAGCCAGTCAATGTATCCCGGGTGTCCCCAGTGCTCGTCGAGGAGCTTGAACAGGATCAACTGGCTCATGCCGCTCGGGCCCTGCGTCGACACGTCTGCGTGCTTTGAGTACCGCTCGACGACCTGCTGGGCGCCCGTGATCCAACCAACTCTGCTACCCGGCGACACGACCTTGGAGAAGGAGTCCATGCGCAGGACGCGGCCGTCGACGTCCATGCTCAGCAGCGAGGGCACGAGTTCCTTCAAAAACTCGGCGTGTGAGGCTGGCGGCTCCGGCGTGGCGGCGTCCGGGCCGCCATAGGGCTCCATTTGCAAGAAGTAGTACGGCTCGTCCTCGAAGATGTAGAGGTCGTGCTTTTGCGCCACCTTGTAGATCTCCCGCCGGCGCTCCGCGCCCTGCGTCGCGCCAGTGGGGTTCTGACCGGAGGGCACAGTGTACAGCACGAACGGCTTGCGAGCGCCACCTCTGGCAGCGGAGTCCCAGTTTGTGAGCACGTCATCGAGGCTCTCGGGCAGCAGACCTTGGTCGTCCATCTTGACACCAGCGACCTTGACACCCATCGGTGCTGCCGTCTCGATTGCCGTTGCGAATGTGTAGTCCTCGGACAGGATGTAGTCGCCCGGCTGAGTGAAGATGCGCAGCGACATTTCCAGAGCAGAGGTGCTGCCAATGGTCATGTGGCACGCCCAATCAGCGTAGGGAGGGTCGTGGATGAGCTCAGTGTGCTCAGTGACCCAGCGCAGCAATTGCGCCGCGCCGTGGCCCTGACCGTAGTTGAAAGCTGTGGCGATATCGAAGATGCTCTTGTCCTCGGCCAAATCATGCTTGCCTACGTGGACCTTGACGCCCTCCTCCTTGGTCTCCTGCTCGCTGAACTTGCCCACGGACGGCATGGTCAAATCGAGGCTGTCGAATGGGAAATACTCGGACGACGGCAGACCTCCTCCGAGAGAAATCAGACCGGGCTTGCCCAGGTATTTGGCGGCATTCTTGAGCGAGTTGCCCTTTCGCGACTTGGACTCGTTGCTAATGTAGTCTATCCACGCCAATTGCGCACGTTAGCATCCATATCATGCAATGCCCGCTCAATTGCTACGTGAGGGAGCGATTGAGAGGCGTGGCGCAAAACAGACTTACGATCCCACCTCTTTGCCTTGGGCTTGTGACTGTGCGAGTAGCTCTTGAAGCGCTCGCTGTTGGCAGGGGCCGCGACGCCCCAGGTCGATTTCTCATCCTTCTTGCGGCGGCCTCGAATATCGTTGATGGGCATGGGAGCCGTCAGCGGGTCCGGCAGCGGCACGCCCGTGGTGTCGGTAATAGCTTCAACCTCGACGTGGTGGGGGGCCATGACCGTTTTGGTGTAGCAATTGGATTGAACGGAACGATGCTGGACTGCGAGATGCAAGACAAGCGAGGAATGAGGCGCGACGCTAGATACCTATTTGTAAGTGGGATGGACGCGGCCAACGTGGGGTCATCTGTAGGTAGGCAAGGGCCTCTTGTCGCAGGGCGCGAGGGCTGAAGATGGTCGCTTATCACCGGTTTACGGCCCGACATGCTTCTCGAAGCGGCATGGCGCTGATCTGCGTCCGGGATCAGCTCGCTTGTCACACTTGACCAGCCGACCACCGACCTCATCTGTTCGTCACTGCGACACGACCATCTCGACACTCGCATCTATGCAGAAAGGCATTTCACATAGGACGACGGTATCAATCGAAATGCCCTGGCATGCTCCGCAGCCGATTTTCTTTCAAGATGTCGGAAATTCTTCATCTCATCTCTAGAGGGATCCCGATCAGGGAGCGAACATGACGCGAAGTCGCTGAGGGCCAACACCATTCACATTACGCCAGGACAACAAACCAGTGACCTGGAGTGTTAACTGATGCTCCATCACCAAGAAGCGAAAGTGTTTTTAAACACTCCAGTGTCCTGAAGCTATCTATGATGGCCACAGTAGCATCTGCGTGGTTCCACTCATGAAACAGTCTCGCTGTCTCGAGGCCGCAACAATAGAAGCTGCAGACAAGCAAGCGCGACCGCGATATCTGTCTGTGGACAGTAAATCGCTGCTTTAATTCATCTCCTTCAACGGGATGAAGGAACACTGCCTCAAATGGACATTGCTTCCGCTTCCCTAGAGACTGCGTCTTGGCCCTGATGGTTACTGCGGTCATCGTTGGCCGCTGGGCAATCAAAGATTGCAGCCCAAAATTACATCCGTACCGTCGCGGCCCGCTCCGCCACACGTCTCTATACGCTACTCCATTCTTCGGGGAGCACTGGGAATATCGGTGTTCATGAGCGCTTTCTGTCCGCTTTCGGAAATGCCGAGAGCTGACCCGAAACAAATACAGAAGGTACCTGTAAATGTCCAGCTGTCAATTGTGCCTGGATGGCCTTTGTTTCCCACACGTAATCGCATGCATGCCGCCTTCTGTCTCTTCCCGCCAATGCTGCGACGGCCATTGGCGCTTTTCGCCGCCGCCTAACGCAGATCCCTGACAACGGACGGTCCCGGCGCTAGAAGTCTGGAGATGCAGACAGCCACATGTTCATCTTCTCTCCATCGCTATCTCTTAGTCTTCGTACGCTTCCGTTGGTGTATGTAGACTCCCTCTTCAGCATTTCGGATCACCGCCAGCGTGCACGGTCGTACCGGGGAACGTGCTTCGCTACCACACTTCAAGATACCGCCAGCAGCCAAAAAGAAAGGTCCTCAAAACGTTCAAAGTCGACAGATTGGCCAGGAATTGAACCTGGGACTTGCCGCGGGAGCGACTGTAGCCGCGACACATGTTACCACTACACCACCAATCTTTTTTCGGTGACTCGTAGATGTATACCAGGGAGCAATTGCAACTCCTTATATATCAAAAAATCAAAGAAGACGGATCGAGACTCGAAAGTGGACACGCAAAATGAGATGGTTATTCGGCCAGTAGCCAGCATTGATCCTACAACGCAGCGAGTTCGATTCAAAGAAGCATAAGGTTCGGCAGCACTTGGTTCGCACCGTGGACACCACTAGTGCCACGGTATTTGCTCATGCGGGATTCGCTCCCGACTAAATCGACTCTCTCTGCAGTTCGAAGGCAGTATTTGACGCCTTCTAAGCCACCGTTTTGCAAATTTTGCAGACTTCGAACGAAGAGACGCGCAAAGGCCAAGTTTGCTGGGCTTTCTCAATCCTCGGTACCACCCCTTGGCCGTGAGATCTAAAAAGAATTTGGGCAAAAAGGAGCACAAGTTGGCCAGGACTCGAACCTGGGTCTTGCCCGCGGAAACGACCGATGCCGCGGACACGTGTTTCCAGTACACCACCAACCCACTGTCTACCATAGAAGCTGGGTTTCCTCTTCATAAACCCTCAATCCAGAAGCCAGGCACAAAGGGTAAGCCCATGCAAACTAGATCTCACGATGGCCAGTGCCACTGACCTTGCCTTTTTCAAGACTCGGTACCACTCTTGGTCTTGGAATCAGAAATCTACTGGGCAAAAAAGATGAGCAAGTTGGCTAGGATTTGAACCTGGCACTCACCTCGGGTGCGACTGTAGCCACGGCACGCGTTACCACTACACCACCGACCCAGTACGACTGAAGGAGCCAATACTTTACTCATGAAGTCTGGGCGTTCCAACCATATCGCGAAGCAAGTCTCGCGCTGGCCAGTGGCCCTGACCTTTCCTTTCTTGGGACTCGCTACCACTCTCTTTTTCAATGCAAGAAAGGAGTCGGGCAAAAAGAACAGCAAGTTGGCTAGGACTTGAACCTAGGACTCGCCATGGGCGTGACTGTAGCCACGGCGTATGTTTCCACTACACCACCAACCCGAATACTTCAGCTGTATGACGCAGCACCGATATTCTGGATATTTATATCACCACCCGCAATGAAGAAAAGTGCGGGATGCTCCGAAGTCATTTTTCCGGAGGTGGGGAATCAATCCTACGCCGCTTTCATGGCAGCGTCCGACGCACCCACGTGGCAACGTTTAGCCTTTTGATTTTTCAGCCGCCATAGTGATTGAATGGTTGTTTGTCCCGTATCAAAATGGTCCCGGCAGCCTGTAGTATAGGCTCCACCTTCATGGAACTCAATTTCCAGGAGTGCGGGGTTACAGGGGTGTTGGCAACAGAGAAGGCGTTTGTTCTCCCTTTGCCAACTCACCCATCAATTTTTCTGGCGATAACCTCAGAAGGTCCAGATTTGCAAAATGGAGGGAAAAGTCGTTGCGATTACTGGTGGTGCTCAAGGCATTGGCTTCGAGACTGCCAAGACGCTGGTCTCGCGTGGAGCCAGAGTATCAATCGGTGATATCGACGGAGTCGAGCTCGAGAAGGCCGAGGAATTCTTCAAATCAATTGGCAAAGGAGAGGATGTATTTTTCCAAAAGTTGGATATCACCAACCGAGAAAACGTGGACGACTGGATCAACAACACCGTTCAGTGGGCCGGGAAACTGGATGCCGCCGTCAACTCTGCAGGAAGGAATTGTTCCGAGTCCGGTGCGCCAACAATAGAGGACACTTCGGATGAGAGATGGGATACCCTTCTTCACACCAATCTTTCAGTTCGTTTTTCGTTTTCGGTTTGGTGCGCGTGGCTTTTGCTGACAACGTATAGGGAACTTTCTATTCTCTCCGCGCAGAACTGCGAAACATCAAGGACGGCGGGAGCATCGTTTGCATCTCCAGCGTCCAAGGTCGACTCGGATTTCCGACTTCAGCTGCCTACTCTGCAGCGAAGCATGGCGTTATTGGATTGGTGAGAAGTGCAGCCAAAGAAAATGGCGCCAGGAATGTTCGCGTCAACGCCGTTGCACCGTATGTCAAATCCAATTGATTCCATCCATTAATCTATGTACTGACGGCGATCAGAGGCGCTATTGACACCAGAATGGTTATGGAGGAGCACAAGAACGAGATCCAAACGCCCATCAAGCGCATTGGGACGCCTCAAGAGGTTGCAAGCCTGATTGCCTATCTGCTCAGCGATGAGGCTGCTTTCATCACTGGAGCCACGTACTCGATTGATGGCGGTTGGGCATGTTGAAGAGTCTTTGGTGATCTGCAGCTCAAATCATTGAATGCTCATTGTCTCCCAGGATTGTATTTCAGGGGCGGGATTTGATTCGTCGCCAAGGTGGACACACTCTTAGGGGAACGCTGCAGGGCACTTCCAAGCAAGGGACCTCAAGGGTCTCCCTTGTCATTCCACGAACCAGATCTCTGTCACTGTCAAACCCTGAATGTTCTGGTCTCCAATTAAACCACCGGGCCTCAATGCTTCCAATGCACAGCACGACCTTCACTTAAATGTGGCATGATTCATTACCCAATTTCTCGTCATTGTCGTCATCTCAGGCTCGCGAATAACTTTATGCAAAAACACTCCTGGCTCCGCGTTGGTCACAAGTTGCATTCATCAAGCCTGGGAACCAGAGCCTCGGCTATCCCGCACCGCTGTCGATCTCCCGCTCCCCAGATTGTTTTCGCAAGCGACCCATCAAACCTTCCACACACTTTACAACGCTGCCGCAATGAAAGCAATCTTGATAGATCAGTGGGTCAATGTACGCTCACTTGAACCCAGCACCGGCAGCGCGCTAAGTGAACGTCCAGAGCCTTTCCGACCTGACCGTCTCTGCTGTTCCGCCTCCCAAATGCGGTGCTAACCAGTTGCGCATCCGCGTCACTCATGCCGCCATAACGCACGTGGATCTCCTCTACGCCCAAGGCCGCCACCAAAACAACCGTCGTCACGTCAAACCGCCCTTCATCCTGGGTACTGAGTTCGCCGGCGTAGTGTTGCACGCTTCCTCCAACTCATCATTTCGCCCCGGCACTCGCGTTTTTGGGTTTGGTCTTGGAAGCTTTGCCGAGGAAATGTGTCTCGATGAAAAGCAGGTCAGATCTGTGCCAGAGCGATGGACCAATGCCGAGGCGTGCGCAGTTGGTGGGAGCGCTGCCGTTGCGTACGGAGCGTTGGGAGAAGGCTGTGCGAATGTAAGTGCAGGGCAGAGTGTTTTGGTACTGGGAGCAAGCGGCGGCTTGGGCGTTGCCGCTATTCAAGTCGCGAAAGCGCTAGGAGCGACCACTGTTATTGGTGTTGCAGCTGGCGCGGAGAAGGAGGCTGTCGTCAAGAGCTTGGGAGCCAGCGTGGTAGATTATCGACAGGAACAGTGGCAAGCAAGAGTATTGGAGTTAACGGGAGGTAAAGGTGTGGACGTGATTTTCGATCCGATCGGAGCTGTCGAAGATGGATTGAAGTATTTGAAATATGGCGGAAAGATCTTGGTGGTTGGTTTCGCAGCGAGAGGTGGTGTTATGGAGAGAGTGAGCATGAACAAGGTCTTGCTGAAGGGCGCAAGTGTTATTGGATATGTAAGTGCCCCGACTTGGCTTCTCTTCCCACTCGTCCTGACGGTTTCCGTCTTCATTTGCAGCGTTTTGGAGAACAGTCTCGCCGCAACCCTGCCGCAACTGCCGCCATATGGAAGGAAACTATGACATTGATTTCACAAAACAAGATCCAGCCCGTGGTTTACAAACAATTCTACAGAGGTTTGGAGATGGTGCCGCGAGCTCTATTAGATATCGGTGAGAGAAATGTTTGGGGAAGAGCAGTAGTTTCCGTTTCAGAAGGGGAGAGAGTTAGGGGTAAAAATGGCACAGCGGGTGCCCGTCTTTGATATATTCGACTAACACGGGTAAAATGGCCAAATTTTCAAAGCGGAAAACCACGCGAACTCGCCTCGATGCGACAAAGAGAGTCTCATCTGATCTCCAAGTTGGCTCAATACAACAAGGTCTTATTCTGCTGTTGTTGAGGTAGCAGGCCCGAGTCTACGGCTCAAGTACTTCTCCGAAAAGTTGAATGCCCTCCAGACATTGGTCTTCAAAGATTCCTGGCAAGAAAATGTACCAAAAACGTCGAAAAATCGAATCCCAAGTCCTAAATATTCACAAGACCCACTTCTGAGAAGCTATGACCAGGGGTACGTCGATAGGCCTGCCGCGCCACAAAACCCCCATCTTCCGAGCATCAATCGTTCATTAAAACCATGTCGATACTAAGACTTGCGACAAAGCCCCTCCTGATATCAGTATCCGCCTACTTTGGTATTCTCAGCTTGCTGATCGCCTTTCCGACCTTTCAGACACATGTCTTCTACCTTCATCGAGTAACCCTCACTTGGTTCAAGGACGTCAATGTTCCAGAGGCTTTTGGTTTCCTTCCAGGCCAAGTCACATCCTTTTCACTTCCAACGTCAGATGGGGAGAGCCTCCATGCCTGGCATGTATTGCCTCTTGGGGCATATCGCCAAAATCAAGACAAACTGGTTGCTCAAGAACCTGAACCGGATCTCGCATTCAAGCTTCTGCGGGATGACCCCGAAGCTCGACTTGTGATTTACTTCCACGGTACTGCTGGCTGCATCGCTTCCGGGTGGCGGCCAGACAGCTACCGCACGCTCTCTGCCGCTGCCCCTGAAAAGATCCACGTCTTGACTGCCGATTACCGTGGTTACGGACGCAGCTCTGGTACGCCTTCCGAGGAAGGTCTCTTACTTGACGCCATCGCCCTCGTCAACTGGGCCACGAAAGAAGCCGACATTTCACCTTCACGGATCGTCATCTTCGGACAGTCTTTGGGTACTGCCGTCGCCGTGTCAGTATCGCGGCATTTTGCACTATACACGCCGTCCGTGACGTTCGCTGGCATCATCCTCGTCGCGCCTTTCTCTGATGTGGCCACTTTGACTGGTACATATCGCATTGGAGGCGTCGTTCCCGTGCTCTCGCCGTTGGCACGTTTCCCTCCGCTGCTGACGTTCTTCACCTCCTTCCTCACCAGCACCTGGATGACCAAGGACCGCATCGCTGAGCTTGTGTGGACTTACGAAAGCAACGAAAATGTCCACGACTATCATATTACGTTTGTCCACGCGGAAGATGATCCTGTCGTGGGCTGTGCGCACTCTGACATGCTTTTTTGGCATGCGGTCAACGCGACCACTTCTACAGGCATCGGGTACGAGGAGTTAGAGCACGAAAAACGCCTTTCGAGAAGGGATTTTGGCGCGGGTGGCTGGAAGTTGGAGAGGAAAACGCCAAAGGGATTGATCAGGCAGGAGATGCTCAAGTTTGGCGTACACGACATGCTCATGACGTTTCCGACAACCTCGCTGGCAATTTTGAAGGCTTTCCAGGCAACTGACTCTGCGTTTGGAAAACGAGCCACATAGCTTTTGTGTAGAATAGTACGTCCTGTCGTATAATATCAGAAGGACCTTCACAAGGTCAACGAATGCTCCCTGTCTTTGACCTTTCTTTTCAAATGATTGAATGGTCCTTGTCTCTGCTTTCCCACAGTATTTGAACTCTCTTTTTACAGGAAGCAGGCCTCTATAATGCCTGTGCTTTGCGGTCCTTGAATGGAGAGCCTCATTGCCGATCACCACTGCCCATGATGTCTCGTGAATATGTGCGCTGATCGAGTCGATCCAGCCTCACAGAAATTTGCTAAAATTGAAAATCACAGGAAGAGAAATATGGATTTTAGCTCCTAGTGTTGGCATACTAGACGTTGGAATAAAGACACGTACTGTGAATTCCCTGATCCGGGGATTCAAAAATCAAAAAATGTCTATTTACGACTGACCTGCACAGCCAGAGCTTGTCTCCGTGCTTTATCAAAGCTCAAAGCAAAGACATGAGCGTTACAGAACAGCACAGTGTGACCAATATCGAATAAAGAGATTTGGATTTCTGAAATCAAGAAACGACCGCTGAGCAACGGTATCAAGTACCAAACGGACAGACTGCGT